AAGACTTATGCGTTTTTTGAAATAATGAAAATCCTATAATCGATTGGAGTTTTTCACGTATGTCTCATCATTTTCCAAAATTAAAGTATGATTTCAAAATCGAAAATGATGATCACAGACCTGCCGGGCCGATCGAATGCCAGAATGCATAGCCCCACCAGAAGCGCGGGTATCAGCATCGTGTTCGCCGTCCGCCGAGGCGCCGGCTGTTTGCTCCCTGAAACGGACCATTATTTCTTGACCCATGAGAATTGATGATATGGATGACGAATGAAACAGGCTGAAGCGGAGGAAGGGATACGATACAGAGATACTTAGGTCTACTTGGGTTACAGGTAGTTACCGTGTGCTGGCGGAGGTTACGATGGGTCTGAAGCCTTTAGGTTCAAGGAACAGTGAAGAGATCAAGGATAAGAAAATCGATTGAAAGGGGTAGCCAGAAGGAAAAGAATCGGTATAGCTTATAGCAAGGCTTCAGGAACTCTAGCAGAAGGTGGAGCAAGCTTGTGCAGAGTCACGAAACGCTGCACAAAACCCAGTACTTGCCGAAAGTGCCACGAAAAATGCCATGTGTTACTGGCGAGAAACATTCACGGCCAGCCACGCAGCCGGCTACCACCACACCTCTCCACAGGAATCCAACACACACACAGGAAAAGCTCTCCCTCCTCCCCCTTTACGAAAAATCGATAATGGTGAAAAATGTATCGATGAATAGAACGGAAGTCATCCAAACACAGACATTGTAGAAGACGGTGAATCATTTCATTGCGAGACGTGATGAGTACTGCGCCTACACGGCCGAGTATTACGCGCGCACTTCGTTTCCCCGTTTGGGGGACTTTGAGCTGCAGCAGGGACGATCCAGCTCATCTGACGAAACAGATGTCGCCATATATTTATATTAGCTGACCCCGCACTCGAGGATGAATGTGCGAAATGGCGAAGCCAAGGGCGAGGAGTGGGAGAATTGGGCGCTATCGCAGTACACGGGGACATCTTCTGGGGCTAAGCTTAGGAAGTGTAGGAACTTTGGGGAAAAATAAAATCGCTCACGTACTCTGGAGTCTCTCCTCCCTGATCACGTACTCTGTAGTCTCTCCTCCCTATCAACGATTGGTACCGTTTTTAACAAAAGAAACTGTTCTGCGCGGTCTTGCATCGCCATCGCAATGCCCCCGTATCTTGCGATAGCGCCGAGAATCGTTTTGGGTGTGTGGGAAGGAAATCAAAACGTGCAGGTATTCATTCGTCGCGTGAATTCAACTCAGGCCAGTCATCACAGAGTGCTTTTCAGGCCGAATAGTACTGGACGGAAAACGCATGCATAGAGCTACAAGTGAGAGAATTTTAGGAAGGGAAGCTTCTAAAGAACCTATAATTCCACTCAAAAAAACTTCCGTTTGTTAAGGACAAGTGGATCGCAGCAATGAAAGGAAGGTCTTGTAGTAGTACTTTTACTGAACGTTACTCAGCGTCTTACTCTACTATTTCGAGGAAGGACGCCTACAGATTCCTGAAAGTGCATGATTGGCCTCCCAGAAATACTCGCGGTTTATTGGATGTAACTGGTAGCACAATTGCCCGGAAAGCAAGAGATCCGGGTACGAATCCCGGCTGGGGCGAAAGGTTTTGCCCACAACTCAGCATTCTTGTGATACCTCGCGGTATAGTTCTGGGTTATCGCTGTGTGATAGCTCCATTGGAGAGCTACACTGGTGTGCAAAACTTAAGGACGAGATGGATGAAGTAACCTAACTTATTGATAGCTTTGTGGACCTTTTACGGTTCCTGTTATTTGCTTTTTGTACTATACTGGAGCAGTTCTTTCTATGTGTGGTTAGGTTCTATAGAGCTGTGTTACTCGGCAGTAATACGTCGCGAAAAATTTAAACTCGTCCTTAATTTTTGCACACCAGTGTAGAGTATAACCAAGGAGGAAACCTGTGGCTGAATCAAGAAGTTGTGTAGAACAAGACGGACAGCAATGAGGCACTGTAAGATAC